AACAGACCTGAGATTCGAAGTCCCCGCATCGAATTACCTCTAGAAATGTCTTTTTCAAAAAACTGATTTTCGATGTTTTTTTGACCCTGTAGACACACAATCAATCAGACAATTTATGTTTACTGGACTCTTCTCTACGAGAAAGAGAATATATTTTTTCTTATCTTTTTAATAGGGTCTTTTGATAATCAATATGCAGTTGATAATTATTACAAGAATGATTTATTGGGTTTAACAATCGTAAAGCCAAATGGATGGTATAGAATACCTGATGAAAAATTACGTTCAACATTCCAAATAGCTTTTAATCCATTGTTTTATAATAATGAATCATTACGTGATGTTCTCAATAGAACAAGCAATACCCTAATACCATTATTTGGCTTCAGTGAATATCAATTAAGTGTTCAAAACGGAAAATTTAATCCATACATTATTGGATTTGTTACAAGATTAAGAAATGAAACAGCGAAAGAAAGTGAATGCGAAAGTTTTATTCGTTTAGACGACTTTCTTGATCGTACAATACTAATTAAAGACGCGAGTACTTGTTTTGAAGTTAATTTCAATGGAAAAATATATTATAGTGAAGAATTATATTTAAAAAATGGCAATAAGTATTATAGACAAACTCAATATGTTCGACATAAAAAAAATAATTATGTCTTTACATTTTCATTATTTTACGACGATAAAATTAACAAAATTCAACTTGATAATATTATGAATACATTGAAATTTTCGGACGAATAAATCTTCTGTTTGTTTTTGTTGTTGTGTACAATTAGTGTAGTTTGAAAAAAATAAATTCACTTTTTTATTTATTCAAATAGTACGTAAAAATATTCAAATAGAATTTTCTAAAATATAAACTTCTTTTCAAAGAATTTTTATTGCAAATCAATTTAAATTACAAAAGATGAAGAATTTAACATTTATTTATTCGAATTTTTTATTGGAAATTACCCATTAAATTCTAGGTTGATAAGAAAAAGTAAAAAGATTTTTCTTCGTTATTTTCTTATCAAAAATTTATTCGATTTTTTTGTATTGATTTTCAATAATAAAACTTTATTTCTTCTTTTACTTCTCGATTATTTAATCAATAAAAAATTTCATTCACGAAATTAATTCAAATTTTTGAATTCGATGATTAGCCACATCAGCAACATAAAGATTTCCTTCGTCATCAAAAGATAAACCATGGGGATGATTCAATTGATTTGATTGATATCCGCTACCATTTCCACCAACAACAATTTCACCTTCTTCTTTTCCTTCACACCAACGCATTACTCGATTATTTGCAGCATCTGCCACATAGATTTGACCCAAATAATCAACAATAACTTCTCGAGGATTAGACAATTGATTGAGATTGCTTCCTTGACCATTTCCTCCAGCCACAATTATTCCTTCTTTTACATCTTTTCTCCATTTCATCACACGATGATTGCTCTCATCTGATACATAAACAGATTGATCTTCATCAACAAAGATAGAACGAGGAGCATGAAATTGATTGAGTTGATTTCCTTGTCCATTTCCACCTGCCACTACAATTCCTTCGTTGTTGTATTCTCCCATTTTCCATCGTCTCACTTCATTCTTGTTCCAATTAGAAACATAAAGAAATCCATGTTTATCTATTGCCAAGCCCCAACAGAAAATATTGTCAATGAGAATTTGTTGAGTTTGATTCAACCATTGAATCACTCGTGTGTTCGAAAAATCAGCAATGATGATCGAATGACTTTGTTGATCAACAATCAGATCTGTTGGATAACTCAGTTGATCCATCTGATCTCCTTCGCGATTTTCACCGGCAATGATCTGTCCTTCCTTTGCATTATATTTCCATTCAACAATACGATGATTATTAGAATCAGGAATGAAAATATTTTTCTTTTTATCAATAAAGATTCCATCAGGCCAATGGAGTTGATTTAGTTGTTGTCCTTCTCCATTCCCACCAGCTACAGTGATAGCATTTTGTTTCCATTTAAGATTGATCTTATCTAAAATAAATGAAGTTTTTTGTTTCAAATATCTTGAGAGTGTGGTAAGATTGTTGCATCTATCATCCATTGATTCACTCACTTTTCATTGGTGGACAGATACTTTGATCAGCCATTGTAACTGGATAACACATAGGCAGATCATCACATTGGGGATGTTGAACACAGATTGTATTCGGTTGATGACATGAATTGTCTGAAGAGTTGCACCGTAAAAGACGAGAACATATTGGCCAGAGGAACCCACAAACGCCTGTATCATTATTGGTACCTATCGTACGAAAGCATCCACATGCACTGTTTGTTGAGCATTCACTATATTGAGGTGTTTTCTCACATATTTGAGATTTGATTTGAACTATGAAAGTGATATACTAATACATATAAACATAAAAAATAGAATAAAAATCAAACCTGTTGTACTAGAATATAAAATTAATGAATATTAACAAAATGAATGACAAAAATTAATAATTATTTACTTGAGAATAATGAAAACAATATAGCAATGAATCTTGATTGTATTCATAGTTGATTTTAGAATAAGAGAATTTAATGAAAAAATGTGTGTTTTTATTTCTAAAACACAGATAGTATCTTAAGCCAATATAATTGAAATAAAACAGATGCATTTATCCACATATCGATAGGTAGAAATTTGATATTGGTTTCATTTCTTCTAATCGCTCTGATTCAATTCTGCGAAAAATGCAATAAAAATGAAGTTAAAAAATGCACAGATCATCATGTGATAAAGTTAAGATTCAAGTGGTATTAGTATATTTTCAAAGAATAAAATATTGATCAGCAACAGTTATTTTGAAGATTGGGAGGAAGTATTGCTTTCAAATGTAGTTTCAGATATAGTTTTGACTTGTATTTGATAAGAAAAGGTAAATGTTTTGAGTGGCATTTATTCGATATAGGACCAACGCTTAGAAGAAAAGTAAATTTGAAGAAAAAGTAATTCTCAATGAAAAGAATTACTTCTCATTTTATGTCACACCAACAGAACCTTTATCAGAAATCTCCAACAACTACTTGAAGTGTGGATATGAATGTTGGTGTGAGTATCGTGTTCTTTTCAACTACACCCGCACTCAGCTACATCACATGATATTGAAAATATAGATTTCTGTTACATGACTCAAACAATAAATTTATTTCGTCTGTTTATTCCATAATAGATCTAATTTGAATAAAAATAAGTAATAGTGAATTATAATCTATGCGGGAAAACAAAATAATTTATCTTCCGAACGAAAATCTACTCATAATTTAATTTAACTTTTCTTTACAAATTTTTATGATAATTAAGAATACAAATACTGTTATCATGACATCTTGTAATAGCCATCTAACATTATTAATTTTAAAGTATATAATAATGACTACTTCTTTTTCTAAACAAAAAAAAGGGTATGGGTGTGTTTTCAGAAAGTATATACCCACGACCACCCCCAAATCGTACGTTATCTTTGTTTGATTGCTAAATATTTGCTTTGTTTATAATACCTTAACGATTTCATGAGTTGTACGAAGAAATAGAGAAATTTTGTAACAGCTTATTTCATCCTTAACAATGTGTATTCACTTTCGAGAAACATCTTGAATCAATTGAAAAGGAAACAGACAGATGTGCTTGTTCTAATTGGATAATAAAGCTGTGACTA